GGTTTTGATTTATTTTGAGAGTCAAGGCAACAGAATATTGCTGAATTAACTGTGGAAATAAGATTATAGAAACAAATGTTCTTTAATGTCACAAGATAATTTGTGGGAAAAGATGGCCCTGGTTCCTCATTGGTCAGATGGTACAATTATGTCACTGCGGTATGTTAAGATGGAGAACACATCTTCTATGATTAACAGCCAGCCTTCTAGACTCCGGTTATCATTACCATCCAATCTGTGCTGCTTGACTCTCAACAGGTTTATTCCCCACCAACCACGCTGCTGTTGCATAGCACCTTGGGTGTTCCCAAACTTGCCCGCTGGAAACCCATTACCTAGACATACGGAGACAAACGGCAACGAAGGTACGCAAATGTTGATGCAATCAAGTTGGGAAAACATCTCCAGGGCCACCACTCAAACCCCCTCCTCCCTCCCACCACACTTCCCCACTTCTTTTAATCTCTCCCTCTCTCCTTCAATTATCACAATGTCACCACCACTGGGAAAGTTTCCTTTCCATGAATTAACAGGAAAAGAGCATTTGCAGTGGGTACGCCGGTTCTCTACTTTGTCATTGTCATGGCGGAGGCTCTGACAAAACAGTTTGCATACCTGCTTAAGTATTACAGAAATTAACACCTCCCTTCCAGGTACAGTAATCAAGGGGGTGACGGGAGACAATTAATTAGGTCCATCTGCATCACTGCCTTTACATAATTAATGGGGCTCATTACTGAACCACGAGCAGAAGCTGTAGCATACTAGTGCACTCACTAGCTCTGAGCATGGTAGCACTATATGGACTTTTGTAGTTTTGTTCAATTTAAAACTTGTTTTATTTTTCAAAATAAAGGTGCAGTGTCAACTCCAGTTTCCTATCAAAATATGTTATCCTTTAATTGGTCCATTCTGCATCTTCTGTTAGCCTCTATTCTAAAACATATGAAGACTCACGCTGTCACAATGCCACTTAAATCAATCTTCACTGGTTGTTTGCTCATACGAGTACATTTTTTAAACTTTTAATTACAGCACTAATCTGTTGATCTGATTACAGTTTTTTGGACAAATTAATGAATTTACACACTTAATGATGTGGGATTTTATAGATAAGTAAATACAATTGGGAGACAGAAGTGTGAGGTAAATCCTGAATAATTTTAATGTGAAAATTGTCATCATTGGTGGGTCAGCTTCACCCCCCCCCCTCCCCCTCTACCATGTATGTGTAATAGAATAGATGCAGCAGAGCCAAACTCTGACTTCCATGTGTAAGTATTGGATCTTCTGCGATACTGTGCCCAAAACTCATGCTTACTTGGAGTCGCAGTGCCATTGCTCTGATCTGCGTTCATTATGTCTACAAAAATATCTATTTGGCTTTGATAACATTTTGACACTTTTAGGACTTATGATTTTAAGAAGGGTTATTTAAGGGTTCGTATTGGGAAGTTGATGTACCTTAAAAAAATGATGCAATGATTTATACTCATGGGAAAAAGTCTATTTGCGCCCAATGGTATCACGAGACGCTGCAATACCAGGTTCGGCCACAATGTTAAATTAGCTTTAACAGTTGATGCACTTCCTGGGGGCTTGGTTTCCACTATATCTGAGTCTATTGATCTTTCCTAGAAACTCATTCTTTCTCACTTCTACCTGAGATCAAATCAAAGAGCACACAGGTACATTGGAACTTGACTCATTAAACATTTTTGCTTGGCTACTGCACTCTCCTGCTGACATCTCAATCTGCGAGTCATATTTAAACCTCAAAGCAACTCAAACTATCATATGGCATGGATGGATCTATAATATAAAGTTAATTGGTGAGAAAGTGAAAGTGAAGTGATAATAATGGGCCATTTGAACGTTGGTTATTGGATGTGAATTATTTTTTATTGTTTTGGGGCTGGAGGGAGAAACGGCATTGGACAGATTTTTGTTGGGTTCTTAACACAGTGCAGCCACATGACTAGTTTTAACTTTGTGGATTGTAATCACCTGGCAGTTTATTTGACTTACATATACGTTGACATTTTAATGTGCCGTTCATACACAGTAGGAACATCTTGATCATGCCCATGACATAGAGAATCCTATGATGTGTCAGACACTGAATAGAGCCCATCAACAACATGATCAAAGTCTTAGACTGTCTACTTGTCATGTTTTCCATTAAAGTTGTTGTGATGTTACCAGTTATGACCAGTTAAGACGCAAGAAAATGCAGAATGTAGAAATAAAGTGGGTCAACTGGTCAAGCACATTAAACTAGCTGACATACCTCTTGAATTTAATTTGTAGGTTTTATAGGTTAACACATATTTTAACATTATTGCTGTGTCATATGACCTACTTTAAGATTAATCTTAAAAGACCTCAATTTGTGATTCTCTGAATGATTTACTTCAGTTTCCCTGTCTGGCACCTGAAGTACGACTGGCATCAAATAAGGCTAAAACAAACAGCAGGTATTTTCACTTCCTGCTTTCCCCAGATCTGATTTGTGGAAAATGTCACTTGAAAGAGTGTGCTGTTCAATAACTTTGTAAAATTGGCTCAATATCAGACTGCTGCTGTTCCTGTGTGTGCCTTGTTTTCCTTCCCCTCATCCCTCCTTTCTCTCACTCTGCTAATGAAGGCCTCGTGGCCCACTGTTATTAAAATTACGCCCTTGCCTCTGATATTAATTGGGTCCGTAATAGGGAATGCGTCGGATTCATTATTTAATTGCAAGGGCACATTTGGAATACAGTTTCTGAAATGTATTTTTAATGAAAAACACTACATCCTGACCTAATCATATCAACCTTATTCTATCTAATTAAGGATGCAAAAAATCATTAGAGTTGCAAAATATTAGTTTCAGCTCTGTCGGGCTGCTCCTTTGCTCGGCTTCATGAATATTTTTTTTCCTGTCTATGATAAATAGTTAATGAGGGAAAAGTGACAAAAATTTGCATGTAGGCAAATTAGTTTAATAGGGATATGTCTTTGCTGAGGTGGGAGAGTGACCCTTTTCACGGGAGAAACTGTTACAATAATTATGGAATAATGGCAAGGCCCATCTTATTTGGATGAAAAATGGCCAACTTGAATAATGTAAAATCATAAAATGCAATAACCCTAAATTTTCATCACGCTGGAGAATGTGTTAACGTGTTAGCATTATATCAGTTTAATAACAGCAAATTAGGGACAATATGAAGTACGCTGTAATTGTTGCTGTGGAGGGAGATATGCAGTAATGCGAGGATGATTTAGCAGAGCCACCACAGCAAGAGGCCATCAGCAGCTAAATGAAGCATTTTCTTAATCACAAACTTTGGGGCTTTAATTTCTTTCAAAGTCTCCAAACATTGGGAGGTTTAATTTTCTCCCAATAAACAGGACCATCACCATTCCATTAGCAGCAGTGTAGTCACCTCTCAGAGCCAGGGCTGCAGTTCATTAGAGCTTACAAGACGTGTGTTTAAAGGACATATAAGGGGGAAAGCTGTTTTACATTCAGTGCATGCAGTAAGTCGTGCATAAAACAAGACTATAAAGAGGATTCAAGACTGAATCCTCTTTAAAATCTGTTTCAGTATATGATCCTAGTCTGGATCAAGTTTGAGTAAAATGATAAAAGGATAATTTTCATTATGATTTTTATCATGACAGATAGTGAACAATAGAACTTGTTGCAAAGATGAAAAGCAATTTTAAAATGTAAACTGTAAAGCTGTGACTGTAAAATGAAATGAATATGTCAAAAGACAACAGCATTGTATTTATTATTGGTAACCATGTTTTTACTGACAAGAGAAATGTCCATTCTTGGGTGCCTTTTTTTTCATTTATCAAAATTATATCCAGTCATACTGATAAGGAGATTACAGTTAAATGTGACCAATGAGTCAATTCAGAACTTAACAGAGGAAGTTGAATTGTAGTAATTAGACTTTCAAAGGGATATGAGCCAGCTTGACACTCACAAAAACTAATTCTAAAAAAGCCTGTTTAAGTCCCCTTTTAGGCAAAATGGGCATCATTTCAACATCAGCTAGTCCATATTTAATGAGAAACAGATAACCAACTTATGTGTCTGGTTCTGTTTCCCCTTTACCGCCATATGAACAAGTAAAGATCACGGGAGTTAATGAACATGGAGAACACCGAGCGATGTGTGCCACTAACAAATCCTACAAAATAAATTAAAATGGACTGCAGTTTGATCGCTGTGCTCCATTTCCCTTATCTCAACAAGTCACATTTTCAATCACTATGCAAAGATTTCCGGTGTAGGCTCGGTGCTAATACATTGCCCTTCTCTGTGTCATCCCTATCGACCTACACCGGGCTGTCAAACATGCACCAGTATATATCAAGACATAATTTCTGAAAACATGGATTTATGCAAACTGGGACTCTGTGTTTCCCATGACACTGAGTTGTCCACATTAAGAGAACGCCCAGTGTAACTTATGCACCCAAGTATGTGTTGATTGAGCAGTCTTTCTTTAATGAAATATCTTTGGAAATTGGTTTCCACAGACTAATCAGGCAGCCCGCTAGCCGGGATTCTGTTTTGGTAATTATCTTGTACTAATTAGAATGGAGCTAAAGACCTCTGAGATGAATTCTCAGCTTTCTCAAATGTAACTAAAGAAAATGTAATGACATAAAACGAGTGTATTCTATATACCTTATTGGACATAATATCTTTGTTAAAGTGACCAAAGGAATACGGTGTGAGAGCGTCACAGCTACCATGAAATAAAAATCATTCCTCTGAGTACCACATTCATCCTGTTCAGCCTGTCTTTCCATTTACTCTACAACATGGGAATGACCCCCACCATAGACACAGAAAATCGAGATGAATAAATGTGACCTTTGACTCATTCTCTTGTTAAGGAAACCTCCATTAGCCCAATTAATCATCAAGGGTTTGAGGAGAAGACCATTGTCTTAGTGAGACAGGAGAGGCTGCATTGTGGTGAGATGCTTACCTTACGCCTTTCCCCATTAAAGCCTCTCCACTGCTCCGCTTTCTTAACAATGTAGCTCAGCTCCTGATTGGACAGCTCCAGGTCTTCAGGCAGGAAGTACGTCCCTTCCTTGGCTGTAAGCCTCTGAAAGACGTCCAGCATGCGGCCATTGTTGTGGAATCTGATGAGGTGAAAAAGGACGTGAGGAAGGAGAAACTGGAGCAGGAGTTGCACCGTGCTGAATCACTGTCTTTGCCCTTTGAAAAGTCACATGGGGTCAAATACGGGTCAGATCTAAGGTCAGATTGTAAATACCTACTTGTGCCAAACAGAATCAAGTCCAGTTTTTTACTTCCACATTGGCTGTCTTTTGTGGATCAGGTCAACAGACAATAATCCCGACTTGCTGGAAGATCATATGAAACGTCTATTGATTACACAAAGCGTGTTTGCAGAGTAATGCTCTATAAATATATAATACATCAATTCCAACACAATGAAAGCGCAAAAAGGAATCAAAAAAATTGGCCAGTGAGTGGGAAGCACTTTGTTAACACAAGCTGACTGTAGCGCTGTCTGTGTTTGACTGTGTGTCTGCGTGGTTGTACATCTGTTAATGTGTGGGAGTCAGATCCTGGGATCCTCTTCAGTGTTAATGCTGAGCTTCAAAGATGGCAGATGCAACAGACGTGCTGGTTGCAGATGTGTCTGGAGAGACGGGCCTGAGTCACAAGCAAACATTCTGCACAGCAAAAGGCGTATTGATTCATACCTCCAGATGAGCGCACATCGCCAAAGTGTTGTTTTTCCTTTACCACACAAGGGTGCACGCAGCCAACCCCTAAAAAGAATCACCATGTCTGTAAACAAATGCCTTGGCTGACCATCAAAACCGGCAGACCTTGTGCCCTTCCATAGAGATTCTAGCCTGTCAGAGGGTAATCAACTCTCAAATAAAACCAACATCAAGGAGACCGGGATTTATACAAGACGCCAGTGCGTAGCTTTGAACCCAGCATCATTCCCCATCACTCTCGGGAGTTGGATGTTTGTAGAATCTTGACCTCAGACACAGGAATAGCATGCATTCATTTTCATCCTACACTTGAATTGTGCTTCTCATTCATTTATGCTGTCTCTCTCTTGGAGAAATTCAACATCTCTGTATCTTTGGCATCAAAACAGTCTCTGGTCTCTGTGTTGCCAGTGCCCTTGATGCAAGTTGCCTATGTGTTACTTGTATCTGGTTTGACCTGGATGAGGATGGCTCCCATTAGCTCTCCTTCAGTAAAGGGGTTCTTCTAAAGGACATAGGTCAACTTATGGACTCCATTTTAGAAATCTAATACTTTAGAATATACACTACCAAACCACTTTGGTGGAATAAAAGGGAAGGGTCTATGCATATAAATTGACATATGAAACATATACATTATCTACAGTACAATAATGGAATCAATGAATGGACTGTTTGTGTTATGATATGCTAATCTAAAACTGTTTTTATAGTGAAGTTCAAGAATATGCCTTCTATATTTATTTTATTTCCAGGAAAAAAATAAAAGATTCCAAGTTACCAGTCACATATGATGGACGGTTTGCCTCCCCCCATCCCCTTGCTCCCGATCCCTCTTCCTGCATCTTATCCCATCTCTCCCCTATCCCTTTCCAAGCCCGGCGCAGTCTAGGCCTGTGAAGGCTGTTTCGTCATGATCCGGCCGAAGATTTCTGCCTTTTAATAAGGCAGTTTTTTCTTACCACTGTAACTTTTGCTGCTTTGCTAAAGTGCTCATAATGGATAGGCCGGATCTTTGTAACATAGTAATAAGTAAGGTCTTTTATCTGCTTTTTGTAACATAATTATGAGTAAGGTCTTTTTACCTGCTCTTTTGTAATGTTAACAGACAAAGAGTAAGGTATTTTACCTGCTTTTTGTAAAGTGTCTTGAGATAACACAAAAATTGAATATCCATGAATTTTACACGACATAGAAACCAATGGATGAGTTTTCCTTCAAGAAGAGCTACTCAAATAGTATATAGTAGATACACACTGTATGCTGTTTAGTACACACATTAAAAGTTGTGTTCTGAATACACATGTGGGCCGAAACCCAACAACAATGCAGATGAACTAACTCATTGTGTATATGCAAACTAAGTATTTTTTATTGTGCAACCATTTTGGGTGTAACTAAACCCATATCAATGTCACTTTATTCTTTGTGGTGTTTATTAAATTTCCAGGGGACAGAGGTGTAAAGCACTGCGCTGATGTGTATTTTTACAGCCAGTGAATAAGGGCTGCCTAAAATGTAATTAAAAAAGGATAACAGTCCATTCTATCTATACATATAGCCTGGGGCATTTTTTTAGAAATAGGTCACGCTCTGTGTCGGAGCCCCTTCCTTGCAGCCAATAGGAAACTGTAACCCATAAAATTATCAGCCTTGCTTCAGCCTCGTGGCCTACATTCAATACAAACCCGTGTGGCGGCTGAGTGGCAGAAGTCATTATTCCCGGCTGCTGTTTTAATATTGTCCATTTAGCCGGAGCCCGATAAGCGTCCCGCTTACTGAAATTAGATGGCACCCTCTCCTCGGCCGCCAATCTCAAACTGATTAATTCAATAAGGGTTTCCTTACATTTGGAGCCCTTAATGGAATTTGCTCTTATACGAGGGTGGGAGAGCTCACCTTGGATAAAACTGTGTTACATTATTCACTAATTTATCAACCCCGACATTCTACTTTTTCACATTGATGCTGCAAAAATAATGTCTTTCTATTATTTAAAAATGCAATAATCATGTGTTGTGCTGGAAATGTCTCATAAGTGGTGCTCAAGTTTATATGTAAGGGGGTCTCCTTTAATATTCTAAATTAGCTACTGTTTGACTGAACAGTCAAGGACCAGCCTTCTTCAAATGAACAAGAAGAGATCCAAACTTTTCATATTGTTTTTTCCTGGTTATCCAAGCTAACCAAGCTCCAAAGCTTTTAACAGCCTCACAGAGAACATAAAGGCTTTGTGGGGATTTTTTAAAACAGTCTAAGATGCTCAAACATAATATAAACCAAGCAAGAGAATGTTTCAGGATGGCTGACCTCAATCTGCAAGACATGAGTGGAACACATAGTGCATTAAGATGCTCGCCACCATGTATATGCAGTCCATTTCAATATGTATGAAACCTGCAGTGATACCAACCATGCAAAACACTCAGCCTAATCGGATAATGTAAGGGGGTTATATGTTCACGCTATATCAAAACACATCTAACTTTTGAATTAGAAACGCTTTCAATATTCCAACCCGTATGGTGCCTTCAAAAACAGCAACTGTGTGGTGCATGTGTGAGTTTCTGCTTTTGTGTCACATAATTCAATGTGTATGTGAGTGAGTGTATGTGTGAGGTTGATGCATAACTGCATAAGTAATTCCATGCGACTTTAAAATCAAAAAGGATTAGATCAACATTTGTTTTTTTTTTGTGTGTGGGGTTTTCTGTGGACAGAGGAGGGAAAGAAATGGTGGATGCGGTAGAACATGGGATGCGGCTGTGGGGGTGGACGGTTTAGAGTTATTCCTGAGTGGGTGCTTGAGAAGTGAAGGCTGGTGAGGGCCTGAGTGTTTCAGGAAGGGTCTTCCTCTTCATTGGCAGACTGTCCCTACAGGCTGTGTCAATTCAGTACTATCAGGACTTTAACTGTCAGGTAGGTTAAACACAAAGCCATAGGTAAATGAATATTTCAATCAAGCCATTGGAACTAGAATTGACAGTAACTGTCACTGCTCCAAGTTGGTACGGAGCCATGTTGGGTCAAAAATGTTCAGCTAGAGAAGATTGGCAAAAAAAAAATACAATTACAATTACAAATACAATATTTCCTTTTTCCTCTTTCACTTAACAGAAAGTATCGCTCATACATGTAATGCTAAGTCAGAAGAATCAAAACAAACAAGACAATCAGGCCACCATCTTCTTGCATGTCTCACCTGAGGAGGTAAATGGACAGGATGGTGATGGAGAGCAGGAAAAGGACTGCGTACAAGAAGAGTGTGATGATCACTCCAGCTGCACCTGATTGGTCGGTTCGATAGAAGTGCCAGTACAGCTTGGCTGCATCACCCACCGGTGTGTCCGGGCTGTAGGCCAGACGCTGAGGAGACAGAGGTTGAAAGAAAAGATGGGAAGAAAAAGACGAATCAGTAAGTGTTAGATGTATAAGACTGGACATATGCAATACGGAGAAGCTGCAGCTGAAGACAGAGATTGATCGAAGGAAGACCACATGATGGCTTCAGGACTGTGTGTCACATACTGGTCAGCTGCTTTTCCTTTCACTCTATGTCCCTCATAGCTGACTTTCTTCATTTATAAACACCACAAAGGCTTGGAAGGTTTCTTTTTGAGTTGTTTTTTAAGTATAAGATAATTCATATACTAATTATTCAGGATTTGATCTCTTGTCAAGAGATTCAGTCGACAACAGTCCGAATCATTCCGTCGCCCAAAAACGACACTCATCTAACCTTGCACATTTATTTCCCACCCTCTCCTCTCCCACCCCTTTTTTTTTTTTTGTAATCTAAAGTCACTTTGCCAAGATAAAGTGAACTCCTATTTAAAGTGCACAAGTGTCCAAGTTATTTTTAAGTGACTTACCCCGAGGACGGCGTCCACTGCAAAGACTGCCAGGGGGTCGAGGACTGTCCACACTCCCTGAGCCATGATAAACTTTGACGTGAAGGAAGGGAGTGAGCCAAATATCTGTTGACAGCCCCATCTGATCAGAACCAGCAGGAACGTTACTGCGTTCAAGGTCAGGGGACCCACCACCACCATCGCCAGCTCCTCCCGGGTGTGGAGCAGAGAGCCCTGGTACACCAGGTCCACCGTGTGTGCGTGGAACTGGAATCTTGCGGGAGAGGAAAAGGAGGCTGGTGATGCGCAAGTTGGTAGACCAAATGTGTAGTGTGTGTATGTTTGTGTGTGTGTGTGTGTGTGTGTGTGTGTGTGTGTGTGTGTGTGTGTGTGTGTGTGTGTGTGTGTGTGTCAATATGTGTGCGGTTGATTTGTGTTTGTGATGCAATGCAGCTTAAGGGCATCTGGTACCAGTATTTCACACTCTCTGTTAGCTTGTTGGTGGTTGATCCAATCATATTTAATGAGTTTGCTGACAATTAACATTATAATTTGTGGTTTTCGTGGCTGTGCAGCCTTACTGCTCTGTATATCATGGGGAACATTGTTGTGTAGGATTCCAAAGCAAGGCAAAATCAAAGATAAATTCCACAAGTTACTGTGACAGTATTTATACCTGTCTTTATGCAAATCATTGGAAACTTGTGAGAGTTTTTTTTTAACCTCCTATAGTAAGTTACGCTCCCTGTTTACAGCAAGCCTCATGAGTTTCTTAATCTTCCCATCAGTCAGGAGGAGGTAGAGCCAGTGGTGGGAGAGGACAGGTCCAGTTTTTGCTCATTAATTTCCATCTGATTTGCTCCAAGAGTCAAGCATCTCTCAGATTCTGTCCATTAATCTGACAGTGGAGGTCCATCGGTGTTCTATCTGAGGCAGATCTCTCTAACACAGAAAACTCAATCCTGCAAAAGTCATTTTAGAGAAAGGAGATTACCAGGCCGAATGACCTATTTCAGATGGAGGGCTTTGAATTATTTTCTAATGTTGTAGGCTTCCATTTTCCAAAGAAATTACATCATGAAATCTCATTCCAAAAATGACAACAGATATTTTGTATTTATTAAATCTTGATTGGATACAATGAAACACAAAAGTCCAATACACTAGACTTGTATTTTGGCATCAGCAGCATTGTTTCATATCAAAAACTGGAAGCATTATTCCATATTCAAACACATTTGGTGTCCATTCAAGTGATTTTGCATGAAAAACTTTCAAAATGAGTTGATGGATCGTTCTTGTTTTCATGTTTATTATTTGTATTGCAAATACATCAGCATTAATCTGTATATGTTACACATTTAGACTCCTTTTTTTGTTTGATTTTCCCTATATATTTTCAAAACACTCAATGAAGAAAGAAATGAACACATACATTTGAATGCATCGTGTAATATGCATTGTGCCAATGAAAAAAAATCTTGCAAAGAAGAACATTAACAAGCATGAATTATACTTCTGTCATGGTTTTAGCATGTTCCAAAATATATTCAGATATTGATCAATGGTGGAAAGCATCTCAGTAAACCTTCACAAGTACTGCCCTTAAAGGTGCAACACTCATTTGTGAATTTTACATGTACGTTTTGTTTCTACTGCACCCTACATGTATTTGGTTGATTGTTTAAGTTACTAGTTGTATGGATTGATATATTTTAAATACCCACTATGTGGCTTTGTCACATCATTACATAGTACACTTACCAATCAGATAGTACTTAATCCACCTACTACTGCCAACGCATGGGTGCATTAGCAATTACATCCTGAGAACAAAATATATAAGATCATACTGTCAGGGGCAGCTGAGCATAAGAATGACTTTTCATTCACCTCAATACCATTTGGTATTGATAACACAAGACTTACAAGATCTTTGTTAGACCGTTCTTTTAATACTTTGACTTGTCGTTGTGTATAAAACAATATAACCACCAAAGGAGAGAGGAACGCTCATAGGTGGTTGAAGCAAAATTGGAGCCAGAGAAGCTTTGTCCTTCTACAAAGAGAGACAGACAGAAAGAGTTGAGACAGACAGAGAGAGTCGGAGAGAAGAAAAAAAAAGTGAGATAGACACAAGAAGGGAGGGAGGCCTGTCACCACACATAGCCGCTGACTGTCACTTTTCCCCTCTCTCTCTCTCTCTCTCTCTGGGCACCATGAGATCTGGACATTGCATGGAGAGAGAAATGCTTGGAGGGAGAGCAGGCGATTCGGACATGTGGAAGTTGTCAACCGATGTTGACCCCCTCTGTTTTCACATTTTTGTTTTTCTTTTAACCTTCTATCCACCCCCTGAGTACATCCTTCTTTTTTTTTTTTTTTTTTTTAATCCAGCCACATTTTTTTCCTCCCTCCTTCCTCTGTATCACTTTCCATGATTTAATGCATGATGTTTGCAGGCCTGTGTTATTGTAATAAAAACCTGCTTGTGTGCGTGTTTGCAGCCAACGTGTTTTATTGTGAAGAATTAAATCAGCGCCATATGCTATTGAGATGAGATTTAACAGTTCTGTGGTATCTTATTGCTGTTTATAATCAATGCTGTGCACCAAATAATAACAATAAATTCCTTCCAAATAATGTAGCCTTTTGGGACTTAAAGCTGTGTGGTGAAATCAACAAACTCCCCCAGCAATGGTTTGTTAATATTGAGTGTGTCTTGTTAAAATGTTAATGGGGGGATTCCAAGCAGATGATTTGGGCGTATCCAATGCACACATGCACGCACACACACACACACACACACAATCTCTGAAACACTGCACATCCTGTGTTCGTTACCCCTTCCACATCCCATTTCACCACAAACTTACTTTGCATTTTGGTGTCTGTTGTGGTGTGTGTTAGTGAATGTGTGTGTGTGTGTGTATGTATCTACAATTTTTCCATGTGCTTCAGTGATCTATGGATGTATCTGCCAATGGAAGGGGATTTATGTCAGCAGAGATGTGTGTATACACACTGAAAGTGTTTATGTTTTGTTGTGTGTGTGTGTACCCATACAACCCCCCCAACCCAATATATGTGTGTGTGCGTGTGTGTTTGTGTGTGTGCGTTTAAGGTGATATCAAAGGAAGCAAACTCACTTGTTGACAGGAACTGCGATGGCCTGGAGGTAGAGCCACTGGCTGCAGTAATGCAGGTAGAGCCTCACAAACCACATCAAAGCCAGCAGCAGCATAATGAGGCCGAGCTGCCGAACGGAGCCACGCCAGCCTCTATGCGGCTGTTGTTGCCCAGGCAACGGTAGGCCCAGCTGGGAAGGTAGCATGCGAAGGGCCAGGCAGGCTCGGTCAGAGAGGCGTGAGGGGCGAGAGACGGGTCCAGGCAGCGCGGATCTGTTTTAGACAGAGGAGAATCCGACAGATCACGAGGACGAGTGACAAGTGTTTTCTTTCCTTTTTGCTTCATCCTCAAAGTTCAATCAAACAGACTTTTAGTCATTAAAATGTATGTCACCTGTAAACTGTCAAATATCCATTACTATAAGACAGAATTTGCTTTGGGGCCATTAAACTGAATCATGTTGTATTGTATCGTACTGTACATCCTTTCTCCCCATGTACTCTACCATATCCTATTGTATTTTATCACGCTTTATCGTATTGCATCGAGTTGTGTCGTATCATATCGTACTGTATCATATGGTAAGGTACTGTTTCCTATCATATTTTATTGCCAGCTGTTCCTGAGAAAGGGTGTGAGCTTAGGTATGTCGGTTTAGACATTTTAAACATAAACATGTTCAATGCTATGACATCAAGTTGACGTCAGCAGGTATTTATTTCAGCAGTTATGAACTTCAGGGTGAGTAAATGTTTTTGTTTTCTTAACATCAGGTTTATATTCACATGCAAGTTTTTCTTTCTTTCTTGCAGAAGTATTCAGTAAATTACTACTTTATAAATACTATATTTCCCTAATGTAGTATTTAAATCATCACACATGCACACAAATGTGCTCTCTCTCACACACACACACACACACACACACACACACACACACACACACACACACACACACACACACACACACACACACACAAAGGAATCCCTTCCAGCAGTGCTCAGCCTCCCTCAGCACCTCTGCCTCCTCTGTGCCGCCCTTTGTCAAGCTTGCTCAACTATTCCCTTTCATATAGAGGGCACAGATGGAAGAGTGGAGGCGAGGAGAGGAGAGGAGAGGAGAGGAGAGGAGAGGAGAAGGAGAGGAGAGGAGAGGAGAGGAGAGGAGGAAGAAGGAGAGAGGAGAGGGAGAGGAGAGTACACAGCACAAGTAGTCACCAATGACCCCATATGGTCTGGCTGTGTTGTAATTAGCACACAGCTAACATAGGTGTATACAGTGATGGTTAGCATCACATGGTGTGACTTAAGGCCTTTGCCCGTGGACATCCCTGCGTCTCACCACTGTGTCCCAGTACACAGTAGGAATTCACTTTGTAGTGTGTATCTAGGGAAAATGATACACTGCCTAAAGACGAAAAACAAAAAAAAAAGAATCAATTGTACTGCCCCCCACCACCACCAAATCATAATTAGGCTAGACTTTCATCAAAATGCAGCATTGTGTTTCTAGCTGCTCGTAATGCTGCTGAAATATGAACCGACTCACAGTTACCTCTAAAACACAAAGAGAACATCTTCGCTGTTCTTGTGAGGTGGGTGCGCTCCCTGAAGTGTTAAATTATTTGAAGTTATCAAGTTCCTCAGTGGATGCACATGAGAGCGGCGGTGTAGAGTACAGTACACATGGGAGAGCTCGAGATTCATTCAGAAAACGCTCAGTCAACAGTTTGTCCTGTTAAATATTCATAGCTTGGCTGGAATAAACTCGAGCACAGAGGATAAACATCTGTTGTAAAGTCAGAAGTGTTGTTAAGATTTGAAGCTACTATATATCTCCTGTTTGAGGAATGATGCAACATTAAAAAAGGAAATGAACATTGCATCATTTTTTTCATTAAAGGCACCATGAAACTTTGTCTAAAAAGAACAAAATGACATAATGGTATGGTCAGTTATGATTGCTTTAAAGTCGTTCTTGTCTATGTTTTGAATAAATGACTACATGATGCAAAGAAGCCTCACATGTTATAAAATGCCATCTCTTCAGGTCACCACAAAGAAAGCATTTCTGGTTTGACTTGATGTTGAAAAGTGTGCAATTAAACTGTCAAGTTTGTGTTTCTTCAAGAGTCTTCATTCTAACACAAACAGAAAGACTATAATATATGAAAAAAATCTGTCTTTGCTTCTCTATTATGATCTATCGTGATCAAGGCGCTCCCTTTCTGTTCCAAGCTTTATCACTTCTTGCTTCCCCGTGTGGTTTAAAAAAAATGCTTTTCCGCATGTCTGCAAAAGTGGAATTACAGAGTAGACAAAACAGCAGTGTGTCAGAGACACAGGCAAGATGCTACCCTGTCAAGTAACATTAAATGGAGACAGCAAATACAACCTGACGCCCGTCTTTCATGTAATGAAGATATTGATGATGCATGAAAGAGGGGTATTTTTAGACGTCTTCATGTGGTGGTGGCTTCCAAAGCAAACTGGTAACATGATGTGAAATCTGTTCTCACCACTGAATTGATTTCATTATGGCATCTCCAATTACAAAAGTACAATGCAGAAAAAAAAGGGGAAGGCGGCATGTGAGGGTTTTGGCTTTTTTTTTTTTTTTCTGTCTCACAGGAACGCAGAATGTTTTTCATTCCAATATCACAGCTTGTCCCGTGAACGACTGATAGCATGTGGCATAGCGGCCCTGAGATTAAACTAGCCATTTAAACAGGCAAGAATTGGCACACAGAGCATTACTCTAATTGTATTTTACATGATTCTGTGAAATCTGGGCCAGAAGCTGTTCACTCATTGTCTCACTTTTGAAACATTTGTTGTTCATTCCCATGTCATCAAATCTTGTTGCAGAGGACTCATCAAACCTTGCCACCAATTGCAAACGCCTGTAAATCATATTTAACTAGCATAAATCTGTCAACGGATGGAGCAAGAACCATCTTGCTGACTGTCTTTTCCAGGCTGTGTCTCTAAATGTTGTACGGCATAACGACAAGCAGGAGCTGTGGTCTTAAAAATAACAAGAAGTGAATAGCAAGTGCGGACAAGTATTAAACCTTTAAGATGCGGCTAGGGTAATGAGAGATGGAGGAGCGGAGGGAGGAGAAGCGTACAGTGGGGTGTTACATCTTAAAGAGCAGATTTATGGTGAGAAAGCTCCAGGGCCGAGGACATTAAGGTAACCCTCAGAATCCCCTTGCATGGCCCCGATGGCTTAAACCCTGCAGTCTTAGGCCACTTAAAGTATTGGACTTATCCCTTTATTTGGGGGATTAAGTTATTTTTTCCCCGTCACTTTCGTATTTGGGCCACAGGCATTGTTTATAAAAGCACTAAAAGCACATGTCTTTTCGCACACAGTCGAAGAATGGTTTGCTATTGGGGAAAAATAGGAAGCGCGGATACAGTGTGGAAATAGACTTAAAAGATTGACAGATAACGTGATTGTTTTCTCAGTGGCAAAAGTGTTGTGGTGATTATGGAAGTGTGATTATCTCAGGTGTTGAGAGATAGGACTGAGGATACCTCAGCTTTGTTTACATTTTTTTTTTTTGAAGAATGCTGATTTGTTCCTCATTGTATCTGTCATCTGTCTGCTATGAGTTACACAACCAGCTCCGTTTAGAGGATTGGAATATAAAACGTACAGATTTTTCAAGCTAATTGGAAGACACCTTTAGCTAGCTAAACGTCTTACCTGCAGATTAACATGACCTGGTTGGTGGAATGTGTCAGAGTAGGTAGCTGTTATTGAGGTAGCTAAAATATGTTTAGATGGTGATAGGTGTGCAAAACTCATACACATACTGTATGCACAAAGAGTTTTTTGTGCCATGTGTGAACCAAAATGTATTATTTAACACTAGACCATGATCTTTGAAAAAAAGTAAACTTCAGCTTAAAGCTCCACATGCGGCACAAACACTGGTCTCCTGGGAAGAAAAGATTCAAGGCTTGTCCGAGTAATCCTCAATGTATAGCGTCAATACGATTACTTTACTGCTCCTGATTAAATCTACGATTCTAGACCACGTTTCCTCCTACCAAATACTCGCCATAGCCAACAACACAGCCTAGGTTGGTTTGAAAAACTTCTGACTACTTCTGAAAAAAGGAAACTTCTGAACATTTGGTTTTCAGATTGGTTTGCACACATGGAGTTTCCAATAACAACATAGACTCCTTTTTCCATAGCTTACAATGTTAATGTTTCGTATAAGGATGACTGCAAAACCAATCCTTAAAGGTAGGATTGGTCATTTTCTCCAGATACACTTTTTAAGATTTTGGTTGAAATTGTCTTTATCCTGACAGACATTAAAAATTCATGTGCCCTGAAAAATGAACAAAGAAAATCTGTAATCTGTAGCAGTTGTAAGCATGTAAAAACTTTGACCAATGTCTGCCACTGCCTCTGTGTACATTTCTATACTCTTAAGATGTAAGATCCAAGCCCATGTGTAAAATGCATTTTTATTATCTGTGTGTGGCATTAACATGAACAAATACTGCGTGTATGCCAACCCAAGTTAACAACATGTCCACATGCCATGGTAATTCCCACAGTAGAAATAATTTTGCTTTCACTGCCTATTTACTGCACACACGCAAAAGCACAAAAGTTGACGTCATGACTGGCAAAAAGCTGGGCTTTGCACAGGTGGGGCAAATATAAAGCAGGAAGCTATGAAACTTCACAGAGTGGAAGTCACAAAGAAACTGACTCCCACAAGATGTATTAAATGATAATCATTGGTTACTAAACTGCTATCATTTTCCAAAGCACCTTGAATGTGGATGTGCATAGAAACACGTCAAACAGAGGAGCACAATATGCCTGCAAGGCCTTCAGATAATTGAGTCATTTTTATATTATTTCAAGAGAAGTTTTATTTAGACTTAAAAATAGTAACAAAAACACAGAAATCTGCTTCTGATTTATCTTTATGCATCCTGTTTCTCTTTCACTATCTCCACTCTTACATTTTGTGTGTTCCTAAAAAACAATTATCTCACTATTTGGGGGTTTTATAAGCAATTTTTAACAGAGACCCTGGCAAAGTGAAATACACATAAATGAGTTTCATTGACAAAATGGGAGCACAGTGGCAGGTATTTGGGATGTAGTTAAAGTACAATTATGGATGTGTGACTCAGCTGCAGAACTGGAGTTCAAAACCATACAATTAAAAGAGTATAATGATGCACAACCAAATTATCAGAATTATTTGCAGCTGACAGAGAGCGGAGGAGAG